CCCCAAAACCCCAAAACCCCAAAACCCCAAAACCCCTGGATTTTAAAATGTGGTTGAAATTTTATGATACATATCCACATGCCTAGTCTAAGCTGATGCAATGGTATGGTAACAGCTCAAAACGATAGCTACACAAAGTTAGACAGTCACTTACAGGTCTGTAAAATCAATCCTGAGTGTATGGCCTTTGAAGTTGCTCAATGCATCTAAATATTGTTAATCCAAAAGAATCGAGTTTTAATAGCTTTGAAAATACCGTACTTCATCCAAATTCAACAGAGTTCTCGTTGACTAAATCTTCAATGATTTCAGCTATAATTGTGAGTCTAAATTTACTGCTGCATTCGTATGGAGTAATGTCCAGTGTGTTATTGAAATTGATCGGAAGATGGTCTATTGAGGCTGAGAATCAAGCTCCCCTACTAGTTTATCACTTATCCTTACCTATCCTCAACAGCAAATGTAAGGGGAAGATGTAAGTTGATAACATCTAGATCTGTCCATGAAGACATCTCCAAGATATTTGACTGCACAAGTGTTAGGGAGGTAATAAAAGCTTCGAAGTAGGGTCTATAAAAATTTAGATTTGTATATTGTGTGAACTACATACGTTATTACTACTCTCCAAACATCAACAGACATTTCAGCTTCTTGCCATCTCCACCCAATCTGTCCTGTCCCTGAAAGGGTGAGAGCAACAAAGCCACCAGGTATTGACCAGCTGTAACTCCAATGAAACTGCAACTGCTGTGACACCTCGGTCCCTTCAAACTCCTCCAAAGCCTTCACATACTCCCCCAACAGGCCTACACAATTAACCCCTTATCAGCTCTCTTCTTACCCACAAACGTGCTACACCCTTCCAAATGCTCCTTAACCCCTATAACCTTGACCACAGTTTCCTCTCTTCCCAGTCTGGCAGCCTGTTCTGCTCCAAGTCCTTGGGCGGACCTCTAAAACTCAAGTTTTAAGAATTCTTAAGAAAGTGGACTTACAGAGATAGCAAAGATTATTAGTAAATAACACAGTGTTTGCTTAAATCCTGTCATTTTTAATACTGTTCAAATCTTTTTATATTTTATGGGGTTTTGGGGTTTTGGGGTTTTGGGGTTTTGGGG